TGATCCTTGAAGTTCATAGTGAAATTCAATGCATAGAGTTGGCTCATATAATTGATATTGGCTAATTTGATTGAGATTTTTGGCGTTATACACCATCAAGAACCTCGGCAAGGGCATGATTGGATATAACTTATGATCCACCTCAATCGGATATAATTGGTTGAGTCATATTATATTCAATCAATTAAATTTAAAGTTCAATTCAACTTAACTCTCGTACTTTTTATTAATATAATTAAGTAATATAAATAAATCATTCTCACACATCATATTCACTATACATTTAATTTTAACTATATATATTAAATAATATAAATAAATCATTCTCACACATCATATTCACTATACATTTAATTTTAACTATATATAAATTTTTACAATCTCTCTTTTATTTTTACATCATATCAACATTAATTATTATATTTAAATATTATTTAATTTTAAATTTATATTCAAAACAAATTATTTTAACTTCAAAATAACTCATTTTAAGTTTTCCCTTTCTGGGTCTGACCTTATCCAATGGGGGGTTTTCTTGTATTCCAGTACTGACCCTGTCATTAGAAGGGTTCAATGGAATGTCTTGGCTAGTTGTAAATACCAATGGGGGGATGTCTGGATTTTGGGTGGGGATTTCAATGCCATTTTGTCTAACCAAGACAAGTCTGGAGGTAGAATTAGGGATCAGTCTAGTTTTATCCCTTTTAAAGATTTTGTTTGCAGTATGAGTATGAGTGAAACTAGAACTTTAGGGCACCACTTCACTTGGTCTAATTTGAGGCAAGGGGATGATTTGGTGGAAGCAAAACTTGATAGATTCTTTTTCTCTCAGATTGGCTTTCTCATTACCCTAATGCCACTGTTAAGCACATCTCTGTAATATCCTCTGACCACAGTATATTGCTGTTGGAGAGTGATTGTACTTTGTCGCCTAAACCCAAAAGATTTGTGTTTGATGCTAGGTGGACCAAATTAGAGGGGTTTAGTAAAACAGTAGAAAATGCCTGGAATAAACCTGTGAGTGGCCCTTTACTGTTTAGTATCCAAACCATAATTGAGAATGTGAGAACTGCCCTTCTTAGTTGGAAGAAAACCAAGGTTACTAATTCTGCCAAAATGATTGAGAATTGTCAGACTGCTCTTAAAAACATGGAATCCCTAGGACCTAATAGAGATTGGGAAGAGTGGCAGGAGTGGAAAGATAACTTGCATAGAGCCTACCTTGAGGAAGAAAATTATTGGAGGGCTAAATCTAGGGTTCAGTGGCTCAATGAAGGAGACAAAAACCCTAAATTTTTTTAAGCCTCAGTCCACTAGAGAAGACAAACTAGTAGCCTTGCTAATCTTATTAACTCTACTGGTAGAAGATGTGCTAATGAGCAAAAGATTGCTAGTGTTCTTGAATCTTATTTTGGGAATTTGTTTTGCTCTTCTCAGCCTGACTTGGAGAGATGTGACCTCAATGGAATCCCTGCTTCCATAATTAATGATATGAACCTTAGATTGAACTGTGCAGTGACTGAGGAGGAAATTTTTATTGCCCTTAAGGAAATGGAACCATCCAAAGCACCTGGCATAGATGGCATGACCACCTGCTTTTTTCAATCCTGTTGGCCCATTGTCAAAGATCATCTTTGTACAGCCATTGTAAACTTTTTTGAGTTAGGCAATATGCCAAAAGGGATTAACCATACTGTCCTCACTTTGATCCCTAAAAAAGCTAATAATTCTGTTCTTGCTTCTGATTTTAGGCATATTGCTCTATGTACAGTAGTATATAAACTCATTTCCAAAGTCTTAGCTAATAGGTTAAAATCTGTTTTAAGTCCTTGTATCAATGACTCCCAGGCTGCTTTTGTCCCTGGGAGACAAATTTTGGATAATGCTGTTTTGGCCAATGAATGTATCCACTACATTAATAGCAAGCGAAAAGGGTCCAAATGTCTTATGGCTGTGAAATTAGACATGGCCAAAGCATATGACCGTGTTGAATGGCATTTTCTTCTCACTGTTTGTAAAAAAATGGGCTTTTCTGATCTTTTTGTCTCTTGGATTTTATCTTTCCTTAGTACAGTTTCCTACTATTTTAATATTAATGGTCAGGTTTTTGGTTTTGTTAAGCCTACTAGGGGCATTAGACAAGGTGACCCTATTTTCCCATATCTTTTCATTATTTTGTCTGAAGCCTTGTCTAATTTGATTCATCAAGCTTGTTTGCTTTTTTTGTACTCTGGTATCAAAATCAGTAGATACTCTCCCTCTATCTCTCATCTTTTATTTGCTGATGATACTATTCTATTTTGTAGTGCTGACGTCTTTCATGCTGATCTAATTTTGAATATCCTTGATAGTTTTGGTACAGCCTCTGGTCAATGTGTTAATCTCAGTAAATCTTCTATCTACTTCTCCAAAAATACTCCAGATCAGTCTAAAGTGAGAATCTGCAATTTGTTGAATGGTATCCAATGTGTGAGGAACTCTAAATATCTAGGCATGCCCTTAGGGGTGGGTAGATCAAAGAGAGATACCTTTCATTATGTGCTTGAATGTGTTACTAGCAGGTTAACTTGTTGGAAGAATGCTTTTCTAAGCTCAGCTGGTAGGGAGGTGCTTATAAAATCTGTCATTGAGGCCCTCCCCACCTATGTAATGTCTTGTTTTAAACTTCCTGCTAGTACATGCAATGATATTTGCAGATTGGTAGCTAACTTTTGGTGGGGTAAAAATGAGCAGGGTCAGAATAAAATTCATTGGGTGGCTTGGGATGATATAGCTAAACCTAAGAATAATGGGGGTTTGGGGTTTAAAAATCTGAAAGTGTTCAATAATGCCCTCATAGCTAAACAATTGTGGAGAATTCTTACCCAACCAAACTTGTTTATCAGTAGAGTGCTCAGGGGGAAATATTTCTATAGGACTAGTCTGTTAGATGTTCAGCCTAGGATGGGGGATTCATGGTTGTGGAAAAGTTAGGTGAGTGTGTTAAAATTTCTGAAACTGGGAATTAGATGTCAAGTGGGGGATGGGAAAAGCATTGCTATTTGGGACCAGCCTTGGCTTCCTAGAAAGATTAATCCTCACCCTGTTTATAGCTTCCCATATGACAGACAAAACTTACGGTGGGTTAGTGACTTAGTTTCTACAGATCATGGGGGGTGGGATAGAGAATTGGTGACACAAACTTTCATTCCTGAGGATGCTAGCCTTATTCTGAAAATTCCTATCTCAACCCTGGGTAAAAAAGACAAATTTTGTTGGCTTTTTGGGAAGTATGGAAAGTTCACTGTCAAATCTGCATATGATGCTTTCATGGAAAATTGGCTGAACACGAAAGCAGGTACTAGTGCAATTGCTGGGACAAGCCTGATGGGTAAGGTATGGAGGATCACATGGACTCTACCAATCAAAATCAAAATAAAGCATTTCCTTTGGAAGTGCTGGTTCAAGTGCCTCAGTACCAAAGATACACTGCTCCAAAAGAAGCTGACAGATGACTCTATCTGCCCTCTCTGTGGACAAGACAATGAAGATCTTGAACATGTCCTATTCAATTGCAGCAGAGCAAAAGTGGCCTGGAAACTCAGTGGAATTTTTTGGCACAGTCTCCAACCCAATGACTCAAAGTTTAGAGACTGGTGGGGTGAAATTTGTACTGCTCCTCAACAAGGCAACATCAAGGACAGAATCATCCTCTCTTGCTACCTTTTGTGGTGGCTATGGAGGACAAGAAATGGATGGATCTTTCAACAAATAAGAGTCAGTGAGAGAGTTATAGTTGAAGGGGCCAAATCAGAGTGGACAAAGTATACCAACATCTTGGCTAAAGCAACAAGAGCTGACTATTTATCACTTCAAACTCCTGTTGAGCAAGAAGAGACATTTTCCCAGAAGGTAGGACAATGGTTACTCAATGTCTGTGCCTTAAGCTCTTCATTGCATCAACTTGAAGTGTCCTATACTGCTGCTAAAGAAGGGGAAGAGACTCAGATGTGGAACACCACACTTTGGTTTGATGGATGTGCTGAAGGTAAATGGCTTGTAGCTGTTAGGTGGGCAGTGTTGAAGGCTTTTGAAAAGGGCTGGAGGCATTGCTGCTGCAAAATCCACCACAAAGGTGTAGTATCCAAGCTAAGAAAGAAGCTGTTACATTTTGATCCATGTTGTAATACTATCAGATGATGTATTAGAACTTAACTTTCTTCTTTTAGACTTTATGTTTGGTGAGTAATTGTGGTGTCTGTATCTTTATGTTTTGCTGCGGCGAATGGTTGATTGCTATCTTTCGTGTGGTGTATGCATTCAGTTGAATGCACGGGTGTACATTTGGTTTGAGTTTTATGAAAGTTTTTTTATCATTGGAAAAAAAAGAGATCATAATGGATTTAATCCATATCCAACATCCCTCAAATGTCCTAGCCTAACCCAGAAACATTGAATTCCAATCCCCCAACCAATACATCTTAAATAAAACATTAAATTCATACATTATCTTTCTATTTGGTTAAAAAAAATAATTTCATGCATTATCTTGTTAGTTGGTCAACAGTTGCTTTTGGCCTCGAATTCAAAACCACCTATTATATTATCAACATTATCAATGTATCATCATCTCTTGCTTCATAGATAGAAATTGCGTGGCGGCCCATCCAGTCATCCACCAACATCATCTCATCCCAAATAATAATTTCATTACTCAAAACGGCTCATTCTTTAGTCGTTTTATCGCTTTTCACACACCATCTGCGGCCGTTGGATTAGCCCAAATCCACTTTCCAATTGGGTCCCACCCTCCGGTGCCAACTTTTGCTCCCAATTCCACCCTACTTTCCCTTTCTACCCCTGAGTCCTGTCCTAATTTACGATACGTGCCATCCAGTTCCCCTCCTATAAATCAACGCTTTGACACCAGTTAGGTTTGCCAAAATGAAAAGCCTCAGGGCACTTTAGAAAAAATACATACAAAAATCACTCTTGCTTTCCTCTGTAATTCACTTCAAATCATGGCTACATCTTCTAGAAGGTCGAACTCGACGGATCTCCGGCGGTCCGGTCCTCTGTACATCTCCACGGCCTCAGATCCATCGCCATTCACGTCGGCGTCTTCCCCCTCTTTTGCTTCCTCAACCAGCTACTACTCCACCACCTCCTCTACCTCCCATTCGGCCGGTTTCTTCGGCCACCGCCGCTCGGCGTCCCCCACGCGCGTCAGCCTTCACGCGCTGTCCCCGCCGCCGCCCACGCCGTCCGTCCGGTTCGCCATCGACAGATCCATCTCCCCGCGGCGTTCGATCGCGGCGGCGGCTTCCAGTCAGATCGTCCGGAGCGGCGGTTCCGGTGTCCCGAAGAGGACGTGTCTATGCTCGCCGACGACGCACCCGGGGTCGTTCCGCTGTGCTCTGCACAAGAACAGCTTCGGCGGCGGCGCCGGCCGGAATAATAACTCGGTGCGGTACTCCCCGAACCGGCTTAACATGAGGAGGTCGGCGATGACGAATTCTCTAGTGCGGATCGGCACGGTAGAGGGAGATCTGGTGAAGCGAGCTCTGGCGGCCCTGATCCGCCCCTCCTCGCACCAGCAGCGCCGCCGGGAGGACTTCCGGCCCCGTCCAAGCCGACTTTCGGCCATGTCCAAGGCCGAGGATCTCTAGTCAGAATATCAACGCGAAGTTTGCAGGTTTGGTTGTTACTCAGATTTCTCTTTTTCCGCTGCGGAGGTGCTCCGATCTACTCGAAGGCTGTGAGTTCAGATGTCCGGCGGCTTTTTTGTACACCGGCGGTAAAAACCCGTGCAATTTTGGATAGCATCCGTTGTACATAGTGATCTGCGAGGACATGTTGGACATTTTAGAATAGCAATCCCCATACGAATATGGAAAACAAAATTTATTTGAGTTTCAGAAAACTATAAATTTAATCTAAAACTTCAAAAACTGGTTGGGTTTTGGCTTGTTTTGGTGTGTTTGATTTGTTAATCGAAATCAATCCCATTCTCTTTGCAGCCTTTGGATCAATTACACGCGTCTTTTGTGTAGTTCCGTTCAGATCAATTATCCGTCCATTGTGTGCCGCCGTTTTCCGTTCTATGTTGCCGTTGCCGTTGCCGTTATCTGTGTATGGGTTCATTTCGTCTCCATCCGGTAGGTTCGTGTGAGGTAATTTCCGTTGATTCATTTTATTTTATTTATTTTATTTCACCTTTTAATTAATTTGTTTGTGTAGTTTGTCACAGGTCAATTTAACCTCTTGTGTTACGATTGTGTTGCAGCTTTTAAGGGATGCAAAGTATTGGTCTACTTTGAATGAGAAGAAGTTGTGGACTATGAAATTTCCTAAAAAAAAAAAAATAATAATAATAATAAATTCAGACCTTGGCTTGGGAGGTGGATGAAATTCGAGAAAGACCGAATAATAATTAATAAATCTGACCTGCGGAAAAAAGATATATCAGTCTATTGATAGTACTGGACCGTTAAGAAGAAAGTTGAATAAAATAAATAAAGGGTAGTCCCAATAATAATGAATGAACCTTTCTTGAGAGGGAAAAAAAAATCTACTGGATTCTATTGATATTACTGGACAGTAAAAGGAAAATTAGAATGGTGAATATAAAAAAAAAAAATGAAATAAATAAAGGGGAAAATTGAAAATGAGAAAGTGTAAAGTGAGGTGGAGCCAGGCTGGGCGTGAGCGGGTGTAGGCCCATTGAACTTCGAACAGCCCATGATTCCCGTTTGAGAAATAGTTGAGTAATTGGGCCCATGACTTTTCCTCACCTCTACTTGCACGATCCTGACCCACGAACAAAATGGATATCGTAGGCCTTCCAAATTGGGACTATTATTGATCTTATCCTTTAATTCCATTCATCTAAAAAAAAATAGAAAAGAACAGAAATAATTTAGTTTTTGCGTGCAAGTTAATATGAAATTCAATGATAATTTATCAACTATCTTGTCAAGATTATAGAGTAGATGAATTAGGGAAACAAATGATTATATGAAAAAAATAAAAAACATCATATAATAGCATAGTCATGAACACGACAATTATGACTTTTAAGACAGGAGGAAAGGAGTACTCGAGAGACAGCTTGAAAGTTGAAAGCTTGACGTTTAAGGAGGGAGCCTGTGGGGCAGCAAAAATCGAATCAATAAATAGGAAGCCATATTTAATTCAACTTGATCAACACCATGTCCCAGTCCAGACGCGTAAGGAAAGAATTCAAGCGTATTAGTATTTCTATTGTCTTTTTTTAATAGAGATTGAAGTAAAGTATTTTAGAAAAATCAATTATATAAACTAGTATTGATACCCGTGTGATGCATGGAGTATACTACAAAAAATATTTTGTTATTTCAGTATTATTAAATTATTTAGGACAATATGCAATCCGTTTAACACAATATTCGATTCAATAATAATATGAAATTTATTTATTTATAGTACTATTTTTTTCTATTTTTTAGATTTTTATTTGTAAGTCTTGATAAATATTGTAAATGTAAGATCATATGATATTTGTATACAAATTACTTATATGTACATATATAATTTTGAGTTATCTTAGCTTTGTAGCTTTTTCAACAATTCATAATTTGCACATTGCACGATAATTGACCAACTTTAACCGGTAAAGTATATCTTTATTTATTATAATTCTAAATGCATGAAATATTAAAATGTTTGATAATTAAATTTTAATTTTTAGTAACTTTAATCCTAATGCAACATATTTTTTCATAGTTAAATATTTTATTTTTATATTTTTTGTTTATATTTATTGCTTTAAATCATTTTTCAACCTATATAATGAGTTAATTAGTACCCATTCGAATATTTAGATATATTATATAATTCCATTATCAAGTGCTATAATATAAATAATGATACTTGACTATTTTATTTACTTATTTTCATTTATAAAATAGTATATAATAAAAATTATATTTTTTAAAACTTGACTAGTTTTTAAATGTACATAGATATTTTTAAGGTAAAATTATAATTTTGAATTTTACCCAACCATCAAATATTAATTTTATTATTATATTATTTTAATTTCAATAGTATTATCATTACAAATGATATTCAATGAGATTTTCCTTTTTATGGTTAAGTTGACTACATTTTAGATAAATATATTAATATTTAAATTGTTCATTACGTTAGTATGATTCAAATATTGTTATTCTAGGTATTTTGTTATATATTATAAGTATGTCTGAATGATGAATATAATTAATTAAATTAATATCCACAATATCTAACCAAATCAATTTTTAAAATATTTTTTAAATTATGCTAATAAATTACTATGAAATTAATATTAAGATCTTATTAAAAATATATCTAATCATTCTACGGTCAAAATAATTCATATTTAAGTCAATTATAGTTAATGAATTTAACCATTGAGTACACAAAAAATAATTAATTTTTTCACATATAAGATTCACTAATAAATCAAGATTAATTAAATATATATATATATATATATATATATATATAATAAGAATAAGGTTAAATCAATTTTAGTAAAAATTTTCCTCTAAAATAATTAATGACCTTCCAAAAAAGAATTATCACAGATGTTTTAAATACAAAACCGAAAAAAAAATCATTAATTGCATGGGAGAGAGTACAACCATAAAACCACTATTTTTAAGGTAACACAAAATAGTACAAGAGCCCTTTAGATATACATAACTCTCATTTAATTTGTATATTTCATTTTTTTTCTAGGTAAATTGCAGTTTTGATACCCAAACTAAAGGTCATTTTGAAATCAGTACCCGTTTTGAAATTTGTGTGAAATTAGTACCTCAACTTTTATTCTGTTAGCAACGTTAGTACCCGGCCGTTAGATGTCCGTCAAATTCCTGTTAGTTGTTAACGGTCGGGTACTAACGTTGTTAACAAAATGAAAGTTTGGGTATTGCTTTCAAAATGGTCATTCCTTTGGGTATCAAAACTACAATTTACCCTCTTTTTCTTATAAACAGTGGAGGTTGCACTTTTTTGTTGAAAATAAATGGTACAGATGCCTTATATATACAGGTTTCATCAGACGCCAAAAAACAGACAAATTTCCTCCATTTTGACCACTTCCGTTAAAACTAACGGAAATTTGACATGCATCTAATGGCCGGGTACTAACGTTGCTAACAGAATGAAAGTATGGGTACGGATTTCGCACAAGTTTCAAATTGGGTACTGATTTCAAAGTGGTCTTTACTTTAGGTATCAAAACTGCAATTTACCCTTTTTTTTCTATATAAAAACTGATCTACACAAATTTATTGCTAATAAAAACAATTTTTTTCCTTAAATAAATATGATATACATGTCTTTCTATTCATACAAATAAATTTATTTTTATATTTGTTTTATTTTACTCCCATAATAAGCAGCTTTCTATTAATATAACAATTTAATTTTTTTTAATATTGTTATGCAATAGATACAATCTAAATATCTTTTTAAACACAACAAAATTCATTTTAAAAATTACATTTTTTATTTATTCCAAAAATTGGAATCGAATTGGCCATAAAATGAGACTAAGAGAATAAAAGAAATAAACACAAAATCCACAAATCATGGTAACAATTTATTTTTTTTAATGAGCATGCTATAATAAAAAAGATAAATACGAAATGCAATCAAATTTAATTTACAAGTGTTTATATTCATATAAATAAATCTCTTATTTGAACGTAAGAATTTTTTTTTTTTAAATGATCATTTTTTACATTACAATTTTATTTTAAAGATTACATTTCAAATTTATTTCAAATATTGGAATCAAATTGATGATTAAATGAGACTAAGAAAATAAAAGAGATAAACACCACAATCCACTAATCATGGTAACAATTTTCTTAATGCTGTCATAATATCTGTTTCTACTACAAATCATACTAACTAAATCAGATATTTTTTAATGATCCTTTTCGTTTTTTATAATATCACGGTTTTTGTGGTAAAAATCCTTTTTCTTTTGGTATCATCCGAATAAACAAAATCTGTGATATTTACCACATGAAAAAATATTATCACTTTAATTTTATATCATATTTTTGCTTTGCAAGATTGTCAGACTTATAAATATCCAATCAAACTCATACGATAAAAACAACTTACACGAAAATATAAAATCCCATATATTGTCAGGCCGGTCTTTATCGCATATTGAGTTGTTCTTAAACAAACCGTTTTTTTGTCAGAGCCAGTTATATGTTGTTGTTTCACGTGTAACTAATATGAAGGGGTTGAAAATATAAGTTAGTTTGTGAAGACGATGAGTTACCCAGTAATAATCAAACTAATAATGTTGTATATAATGAGACTTTTAATAATGTACGCCTTATTACCAACGAAGAATTTATGATTACTTTACAAATGTCCTACGTATTATAACTTATTAAGTAATAGCTTTAATTTATCAATTTTTTTCAAAATAAATACAATTCGTACATCGCACATGGGCTACATGCTAATATCAAATATAGATGAAAAAAATTTTTCCGCCTAAAACTATACCAAGTATAGAACAATTGAACATGGAAAGTCAATTGGGTTCATGCTGACATGAGAGGGTCCGGGTTCAATCGTTAGAATATTCTGGTTCAATTCTAAAAAATCATTTATATTGCCGTTAATTTTTTTTATTTATTTATTACAAGCTGCTAATGATTTTTTCTTATATATATATATATATATTATATATAAACATAAACAACCACACAACACAATCAAACAAATAATAATTTGAGTAGTATAAGCACAAATGTAACATTACAATTTTGCGGGTCAACAATATATTTTCAATTTCAACCAGATGATTGGATATAAACAAAATTATGATTGTTATTGATTAAAACGAATTAATTTTGAATAAAACTGTTTAATGAAAAATTATCGATAAAGTAAAGATAAATCCTCAATGGCATATTCAAGTTCCTTGTCAGTCCTTAAGTTAATTTTTTTCCACTGCACTCTCTATCGACATCTTTCTCTTTCCTTATTGTCGGCCCACTGTAGTAATATGTTATTAATGTTGCTATGATTGTATTGTGATTTATATAGTAAATGAGTAAAAAAAATGTGTTTTATTAAGCCATAGAAAATATTTTATAGATAATCCATACGTAAACATCTAGCACAGCCATCCCACTGTAGTAATATGCTATTAATGTTTTTATTATTATATTGTGATTTATATAGTAAATGAGTAAAAAAATTTGTTTTATTAAGCTATATAAAATATTTTATGGATAAATCAATATTTATGTAATCTTTTCACGCTATTCTAAAATCAAATGGCAACAATCCACAAAATAAGTAGATTCTTTCAAAAAGAAATCTAGACAAACATATTTACTTGAACTGTGAAGCCCAAAATTTAAAATGGTTTAATTTCTAAAATGTAGTCCCCAATTCATTAAATATAATATATTCGTTTTGTTAAAGACTTTTAACATAGATCTCCAAAATGTAGTAACCAATCCATTTAATATACATTTGTTATGCTAAGTACTTTTAACATAGAACGTGATCTGGAGAGAATTAAAGACTACAATAATCGCAAAAAATTATTCCAACAAACACTAAACAATTAAAATTCATTTAACCCAAAAAAAAAAAAAAAAGGATGGATTATGATATACAACAATAGCTAGGTATTATAAATTCCAGACGGTCACCCTTCGCCTAAAAATGAGTCTTTCAATGAACCACCAGGCTTCTTTATGACATGAATTGATTCTAAATTCGTACTTCCCTGCCAACACCATCCTCACTTGGTCTGTTGGTCAACACAAGATGTTTTGATAGCAACAATGGCAAACAAATATTACACAAAAGCGATACGGAAGTCAAATTCAACACAAAACCACCTGACAGTACTTAGAAGAAAAGGATAAATTATGAAGTAAAAGATAAATTAAATGAGAAAGTATGTGCACGCAAAACGTATTCATTCAAAATAAGAAAAAAAAAAAAAAATTGAACTGACTTAAATATGTTGATTAGTTACTTGGTTTTAAAGTTTCATGTTGCTGAAGTGTGTGTGAAAGAGGCACAACCGGCAATGAGATAAAGATACAAAGTATTCTGCTAAATAAAGTCCATGTAGAACAAAAAAACAGCATGTTAGTATGTCATGAATGTTTGTTGGAGAAAAAACGCGACGAAAGAAGGCGGTTTCCATTCACATACAGAAAATATTGTTTTAAAGATGAAGTTCATGGTCTACAATTGAAGTACCGAGTTCCTATACTATTTACTGTATATTTGTTAAGTGTGGCACAAGTCTTATTATTAAGAATTGACGGTATGGCTAATAGCTAATTACACAATTTTATCGTGAGGCTTAATTATTACACTGTGCACCTTCTGAATCAGAGTAGAGGTATATATTTGTTTCACGCTCATTTCAAAAGAATTATGTAATACTTGATATTCACCAGTTAACGTATGTACAACCTGTGTGCAGTAGAATACATGGAAGTGATGTGTTGTGGATCCGAAAGGTCATCGTCCACCCCTACTCTCCCCATGGAGCCTCGAGAAGGTGAAAAATTCCCGGGAGGCCGAAATCCTGTCTATCTTCAAGGAACTGAACAGCTCGTCGAGATTCAGGGGCAAGATGCTTCAAATTGAACAAAGCACATATATAAACACCAAAAGAAATAAGAATTCTATCAAAATTCGAGGCATGCAAATGGAGCAAAAGAACAAAAATTGGATAAATTTTATGGGAGTGCCCAATTCACAAGACCGCTTTTTGCAAAAGTAACAAAATGACGTAGATTTATGAGCCAAACGTCCAAGTTCTGATCAATTGGAAAGTGAACGACATTGTTTTACCCAAATATAAAACGACGTCGTCAAACACTACAAAATTGACTTCACCACAGCACAACCCATTACTCTACCAAAAAATTGAATCTCAATAACAACTCAAACACTGTAATTCCAACACGCAGCAAAAGGCAACTCCATATTATTTAACCCGGTCATCAAAATTCGAAAGGTTAAAAAAATACTCAACTACACACGGACAAATATCGACGTGCCACGTTTGTCGTACCTGTTTGACGGATTCGGCGATGTGAGGCCCAATTCCGTAGCCGGGAAAGACGTTAGCACGAATTAGGTTGGAAACAGATGCGGCGGCAGATGAGAAACTCCAATCGAAGAAGCTAGGTTTGTGGAGGAGAATAATCCATCGTGTCGGATTAGGGCGAGCCAGACTTCGCCGCCTTGAACAGGTGTCGACAGAGTATCGGTCGATCGCCAGAGGCGACCACGCCGACGTTGTCGTCTCTCGCCTGTCTCAGAGCAGAAGCGGAAGAGGCACTACGAATATTTGAGTGCGCAGACCGAGGAGGTAGAAGGTGAAGCTGGCCATTAACTCCTACCAGTTGTCGGATATCCTGTTGCAGGAACCGAGAACGGACGTGCCTGTCGAGAGCATGCGCACGACGGGCAAAATATGGGGGAGAGAAGAGTAACATTTTTAGGTTAGACTCAAATCAAAACAACGTAGTTTTAAATTCAAATTGAAACGATGTCGATTCGGCATTAAACTGGACACCCGACACTTAAGAAGACAAATAGCTCCTTTTTATATATATAAGAGAACAGATATATATATACTTATTATTATTTATCATTTAATTTCATTCGTAAATCATAAAAACTCATCCCAACAGAGAAAAAAAGGGCCGGCGATCCTAAATCCCAAATCCTCAAAATCATTCCCAACTCAAACTTGGGGCAACAGATCCAGGCCATGGTCGTGCTGTCTAGCAGATGCGGGGTACCACGATCGAGCAAATAGTGAGGGCCGAAGGGATTGGGTAGGGGTTTGAAATCGGGATTCTGGGCGGGATCCCGATCGCCGTCGCCGGTGACGAGGATCTGGAGGGAGAAGGAGTCTCGGATTTCCTGTAGGAACTGGCGGCAGTGGCCGCAAGGAGCGAATGAGACGGCGAGGGAGAGGAGGGAGGGGCAGCGGTGGACGGCGAGGCTGGTGAGGACGAACAACTCGGCATGGACGGAGTGGTGGAGTGAGAGGCCGGGGAACTCGAGGTTGGCGGCGAGGAAGACGTGGCCGTCTGAGCCGAGGCCGACGTGATAGTTAGAGATCCTAAAACAGAGTAATGTATTACTATATGTTTGTATGCAATTAACTTCCCTCATCTATTCTTTGGCTTTTAATAATAATAAGAAGAAAAAAGCTGTCTCTTTTTCATTTTCTGATTATATTTCCGCCTATTTGAAAACCTATCAATCAAAACGCTCGATTATCTGTTGCCCTGCGAAGAATTCAAGTCGGATTTTTCATTGTTGCCGCACCAGTAACGGCGATTTTGTTTAATAAATCGATTCGTGTATCTATTCGTTTTTATGTGTGGGTGTTTTTTTTTTTTTTTTGTTGTGGTTTTGATTTGGAAAATATGAATTCATGCAGTTCCGGTGTGTTTAATTTGTTCCGGGTGCTGTTGATTCGTGAATCGTTGATTACGGATTTTGGAGTCTGCATTTCGTTGAAGATTTTTTTTCTCAATATTAGGGCTTTGTTGATTTCGGTTTTATTGAACCTTTTACTTCACATTTTAGTTTCGAAAGTTGTGAAATTAAGTGATGATTTTGGTTTAGTGGGTTTAGAAATTTTGAATTTGATAGTTCATTTATCATAGCTGAATTTTGAGAAATAAATTGAGTGAGAATCATCCATAACGCACTTGTTTGATTTGCAAAATTGAATTATTTATTTAATTTTCTCTTTCATTTTACCAGTGAGTTCCAAAACGACTACTGGTTGCTTGCCAACTGATTGCAGTTACTATGCTTGTTGAACAGTTGCATCTGGTATCTCCAATAAATGTTTTATGCCATGTTAACTAATTGTGGTTGATGGTCAGCGGTGTCTGTTTTATGCTCTGTTTATCTATGAGACACACTGACTCTGTTTTGCACCCTCTTTTTTATTTTTGTCACCTATGGTTATTTGTCCATGGCGGTTCATGGACTGGGCCATGGACTCCGCGACCGAGGACTCTATCACGAATTGGGCCCGGCCAGTCCTGTCTGTGTTCTCACTTTTTGATTATTCGAATTTTGTAAACTTGGGGCCTGAGTGTTAGTGATTTACATTGTCTCCTGCTGCTCCAAGGAATTCGTACAAGTTATCTGCAGGCTCAAAACCCTTTCTCGCTGCATACGCTGTTGCGCGCTTTGTAATTTCTTGGGGTTTGTTCAAAGTAGATTATTCTCCTCTTTGTTTTTCTTCGTTTTTCTGTAGATGAATGCTTCGGTTCGTTTATTGTGTTGACTTCTTTTTCTCAGAACCATAGGGCGTTTGAGATTTAGTTCTAATTTGTGTAATCGATGTTGCAAATTGTTCTTATTATTATCTTACAGTTTTACTATTATCTTACAGTTTTACTATGGAGCCATCGGATGGCTCGACTTATGGAGTCATCGACACTTATTCACCAATAGTGTATTGACATGTGTCCTACAATAAATACAATTTGATTCCTCCTTTCTTTATTTCTCCATTTCTTTCATTTTCCTTTTTTTGTTTTTCTTTTTTCAGTATAGTTTGTATTAGGAAGCTCGAACCTTTGAACCTCAAATTATATTGGAAAAATAATGAGCATTTTCATTCAAAATTGATGACTGTTGTGTTGCACGTTAATATGTATGGTATTTCTTGTGCAAGCTTTCTAAATAACTTCAATCACGCGAGTAAAATTAACTTCATATAAAGATTAAGGTGATTGGACTGCTTAGGACTGGTGGGGGGTTTTGCCTACCTAAGGACAAGAAGTTGAAGACTTGTAAACAAAATGGAAATATAATCTTACTTATAAACTATAAATATTTTAATTTTGGTCAACATTTGTGAAATTAGTATCAGCACTAGAGTTAGACAATACTCATTAAATGGTGTTCTAGTACCAAATAGTGTTCTAAAAGTCGCTAGGCGCCCGTTAGGCGCTCGACTAGTGCCTAGCACCTAGTCGGGGCCTAGGCGGCGCCTAGTCGGGGCCCAGAAATCAATAGTAAATACCTTATTTTTTATTTATTTTAACTACCTATAAAATAAGATTATCTCAACATATAATAAATTCACACACCAAAGTTTAAATAATAATATTAATATATATTAAAGAAAACATGAGAATAAAATAATGTAATTAGTATTTAAAAAAATAAAAAAAAATTGAAAAATTGCCGCCGATCCCGCCTAGGAGTGTCTAAGTCCGCCTACTCCCGCCTAGGAGCGTCTAAGTCCGCCTACGCCCGCCTAGACGCCGCCTAACCGCCTGGCCGCCTAGGAGCGCCTAGGGCCGCCTAGGCCCGCCTAGGCGCCTGACCGATTTTTTCTGTCGATTGTACAAATCGGAGGCGCCCGGGCACCGCCTAGCGCCTAGGCGCCGCCTAGGCCGATTTTTAGAACAGTGGTACCAAATATCGGATCTTTTGTACTAACTACAACGAACATAAAATAAAATAAAATAAAAAAATGAATTTCGTAAAATGGTACCAGTTTTACCACAAATAGTACCACTCCTTCTTCTATGCAGTACCATGTTGATCATTTAGTACCTACTTTGTAGAAAGAACAAAAAATGATTACTTCAATTTTTGTCAACATTTTCAAAATTAGTACCAGTTTTAGAGTAAGATAGTACCGCAAGTATGGTGTTCTAGTACCAGATATCGGGTCTTCAGTACCAACTCCGACGAATATAAAAAAAATGAATTTCGTAAAATGGTACCAGTTTTTCCACAAACAGTACCACTTCTTCTTCTATTCAGTACCAGTTATTGATCAATTAGTACCTACTTTGTAGAAAGAACAAATGGATTACTTTAAATTTGGTCAACATTTTCAAAATTAGTACTAGGCCTAGAGCAACATAGTGCCGCAATTATGGTGTTCTAGTACCAGATATCGAATCTTCAGTACCAACTCCGACGAACATAAAAAAACATCGAATTTCGGTCTCAAGATGTTTACATGACCAATAATCACTCTCACATTAGTTTCTATGAGATTTAGAATGTGTTTAATTAAGTTTAATCAGAAATTGGTCATGAACTCATTACACACATGAAAAAACACTACTAATACACTTCATCTCATTGAATGACACATTTCATCTTATTGAATGATCATACATGACTACTCTAAATTCTACATATATATTTTAAGTTTCACTATTTTTCAACTAAATCACGCGTGAACGATCCCATTAGTACATTAGTTAAGTTTTAGAATGTGTTTAATTAAGTTTAATCGCAAATTGGTCACGAACTCAACACACTAATGAACAAACACTACTAACACTTCATCTCATTAAAATGGTACCAGTTTTGACAGAAATAGTACCAATTCTTCTTCTGCTTAGTACCTATTTTTAATCAATTAGTACCTACTTTTAGTCAACGAAAATTGATTAATTCAATTTTGGTCAACATTTGCAAAAATTAGTACCAGACCTAGAGTAAGATAGTACCAGATTTATGTTGTTTTAGTACCAGATATCGGGTCTTCAGTACCAACTCCGACGAACATAAAAAAAACACCGAATTTCGGTCTCAAATGATGTTTATATGACTCATTATCACTCTCACATTAGTTTCTATGAGATTTAAAATGTGTTTCATTAAGTTGAATCGCAAATTAGTCACGAACTCAACACACTAATGATAAAACACTACTAATACACTTCATCTCATTAAAATACACACTTCATCTCATTGAATGATCATACATGACTACTCCAAATTCTACTTATATGTTTTAACTTACACTATTTCTCAACCAAATCACGCGTCAACGGTCCACGTGACATGGTAGACATGGAGGATTAAAGAAATCACGATTACTAAAATGGTACCAGTTTTGACCGAAATAGTACCGCTGCTTCTTCTGCGTAGTACTTGTTTTTAATCAATTAGTACCTACTTTTTGTCAACGAAAATGTATTACTTCAATTTTGGTCAACATTTGCAAAAATTAGTACCAGACCTAAAGTAAGATAGTACCAACTTTATGGTGTTTTAGAACCTGTTTATGGGCTTTAGTACCACATATGGAGTCTTTAGTACCACTTGTAATGAACACATAGAAACACCGAATTTTGGTCGAAAATGCTGTTTATACGACCTATAATCACTCTCACCATTAGTTTATATGAGATTTAAAATTTGGTTAATTAAGTTTAATCGCAAATTGGTCATGAACTCAACGCACAATGAAAAAACAGTACTAGTTTTTATTGAAATAGTACCTGTTATTCTTCTACGTAGTACCTGTTATTGATCAATTAGTACTACTTTTGGTCAACCAAGATAGATTATTTCAATTGTGGTCAATATTTAAAAAAAGTAGTACCAGACCTAGAGTTAGGTAGTACCACATATAGAGTCTTTAGTATCACTTGTAATGAACACGTAGAAACACCGAATTTTGGTCGAAAAGGATGTTTATACGACCCATAATCACTCTCACATTAGTTTATATAAGATTTAAAATGTTTTTCATTGAGTTAATCGTAAAATGGTCATGAACTCAACACATTAATGAGAAAACACTACTAATACACTTCATTTCATTGAATGATACACTTCATCTCATAGAATCATCATACATGACTACTCCAAATTCTACCTATATGTTTTAACTTCCACTATTTTTCATCCAAATCACGTGTGAACGATCCACGTGTTATGGTAGACATGAAGGATTAGAGAAATCACAATTCTTAAAAGGCTTAATGGCGGTAAAATACACGACCTTTACGTGTTTGGCCATTTAATCACCACCTTTAGACCTTGGCAAATAAATACACGACCTTCACATTTTTGGCAACCCGGTATCTTGTTTTGGTCTGCCGTTAACGGAAATCCTACGTGGCTTTTAAAACTGATGGACACACCAAACGGGCATCTCAGTCAGCGCCGAGGTGGCAGGATCGGGTAGTATAAAAGCCAAATGTGCCTTAAATTTTCCCCAAAATCTTCATTCACAAAATTGAACCCTAATTTCACTGCAAATCGCCCCAATTTTGCGCTGAAATGTCGGCAAGTTCGAGCTCAAATTCAAGGAGATTCAAATTAGAATGTGGCTGTGGAGACGAACCAGGTATATTCACATCAAATACCGACCTCAATCCTTGTCGTCGATTTCGACGTTGCATCAACACAGAGGTGAGTTCGATTTCCTATTGCAATTTGGTGTTTTGATTATGTTTTGTGTCGATATGAGTGCAATTATGCCGATATGACTGCAATTTGGCGTAGTTCTTGTTATTTCATGCGTGGCCGATCTGAGATGAATTGTCCTGTTCAATGTGAAGTGCGAGTTGAATTTGATGAAATGAACTCAGTTTGAAAATACTAGTTGAATTTACGAGCACAGTTTGAAAAATTTTGGCTTTATGTCATGAACTTAGTTTATGGGTTTTCAGATTATGTGATTTGTTCTAATCCTTGCTTCTTTGTAAAAGAAACCCTGTAGTACTTTTCTTGGATTGATCCGGAGCTTGGACCATTTCAGAAATCATGTTTTCTGAAACTGAAGGCTGATAAGACATTGTTGGAGGAGCAATTAAAATGCAAAGAAGTCACTGTAGTAGCAATGCCTGAGAGGCTCTCATTGAAGAATGATGAACTATTGTATCTTAAATCCAAAGCAAATGACTTGGAGGAGCAATTAAAATGCGAAGAAAATACTGCAGTAGCAATGGCTGAGAGGCTGAAAATGAAGGAGGATGAACTTTTGTGTCTTAAATCCAAAGTAAATGACTTGGAGGAGCAACTACAAGTCTTGTCCAAGAGAAACATCTTCAGAAACCGTATTGTGTGTGTGTCAGTTGTGTTATTTGTTGTTTTGCTTTTTTCCTTGGGTAAAGGGGAAAATGGTTGATTGATGTTGAACTAGCTTTAAGTTTTTGTAACTTCATCTTGGTTATGTATTGACAGTGAACCATTTCTGATGCTGCCTTTTGGGCACTTTGCAGTTGTTATGGAATTTTTTTTTTTTTTGAATCAGCTTATGTTTTCTGTAAGTTTATTTCAGTGTATGTGTATGTTGGTGCAATATATTGTATGTTAATATTGACAATGATCATTTTGGCTAGGTTTACAGTTACTTTATTTCACTTCACAACCATCTTATAAGCACAAATTTGTGTACAAGCATATTAAATACCAAACAACCTGAAAATGAAGACATGTCTACTAACAAAAGTCTTGCTGCCATCCTTAGACAATTCAAAGTTAAATCCAATCCAAATTCCACAACCAAAATCATCAAATCCAATCCAAATTCAGAAATTACAACTGTATCTCCAATCCAACAACCAAAAACATAAAAAAAACAAGGCAGTTCAGAAACAGCATCCCCAAAACCTCACAACAGTACATATCCATGACAACTAAGGTGAAAAGTTGCAAACACTCTCTTGGGTCCCCTGATCTCTGGGGCAATTCTTGGATGTTTGTTTCTTTTGTCCATGTGCTGATCCAGGTCTCCTGTTAGGTACAAAGTTAACTCTACGTTGCCCTGGCATCTGATTAAGCAGTTGTGGAACAAATTAAGTAAATTTCTGAAAAATGCATAACAAATTGGCACAGGGAAAAATATGGTAAACAATGACGCATACCCTCATATAAATGTCTCATGTCTACTCAGAGACCATCACACCATATCTTTTTTTTGCCTAAAGAATGAAAACAACAATAAGTTAACTAAACTGACATTTAGCTTTATGAAAGAAAATAAAGTTAGCTTTTTTATCATTATTCTGTCTCTTGCCCTAATAGCTTGCACATTTTGAGATGATTGTCCAACACTCCTGATCCTGGTACTCTTCCTTGACTGTTGCATAGCAGCTGTGGCTGATCTTGTAGTTGGGGCTGTTCTGGTTGCTCTTGTGACTGTGGTTTCTCTTCTGGTTGTGGTTGCTCTTGTGGATAGGGCTTTTGTTGGGGCTTGTGTTTGTGGTGCTGTTGGGGCTTGTGTTTGTCGTACTTGTGGTGGTGTTGTTGGGGCTGTTGTTAGGACTGGTGTTGGGGCTGTTGTTGGGTCTGGTGTTGGGGCTGGTGTTGGGACTGGTGTTGGGTTTGTTGGCTGCCAATCTCTTGCAGAAGACTCCACATGTTGCTCCTTTGTCCTTGGTCTCCCCTTCTTTTTCTGCAATTTAACAAGAAGGATATTAGCATAATGCATCATAAATGTTCATAAATAAGCACTAACAATAAAACTCACTCTTGTCTGTGCAGGAGCAGCTTCATTGGGGCAAGTCCTGATGTTATGCCCAATTTTCTTGCATTTTTGACAAGTCATTTGTAGTCCAAATCTCCTCAGCTTAGTGTCACTCTTGGCCTCTTCTTCAGATGCTCTTCTCCTTCTTATTCTAGGTCTACCAGGCATCTTTTTAAATGGAGGTGGCTTGACAGTGGACCCAGATGCATCAGGCCACATTTTAGGTCTATTTAATGGTTCAAGAGAAAAAGAGTATGCTCTCAAATTTTCTACATAGAAGTATGGGCTGACAAAATCCACTACATCCCTCTTCATGTAATGAATTGCAGAACAAGCATGGATACATGGTATACCAGATATATCCCAGCTTCTACAACTACATGTCATCCACTTCAAATCAACTACAAATTGATCATCTGATATGACAACTTGAAATTTTTCACCCACTGCAGGTTTGGTCACACACAACCAACTACTCAACTTATTTTCCTCAATTTTTTTCCTTATCCTAGGACATATTGTGTCTTTTACTCCACTGGTCAACATAAGTTTGTTATGCTGCCTATCTAATACTCTCAAGCATGTCAACAATAGGTTGTTTCATTGCCTTCACTATGGTACTGTTGAAAGTTTCACACACATTATTAAGTATCATATCACATTTTGGATTCTCAAGGATAAAAGCTTTACAGAACCTGACATTTTCCAGCTTCATGAAGTCCTCATAAGCCTCTTTATCCACTACCTTCATCCCTTCAAGTGCCTCCTTATAGGCTGCCTTGTATGTGCTATGCACTACCCTCCAGAAACAGCTTTTAAGTGCACTGCCTTTGTGAGATTTCTTCCAGTTCATGTACACATGCCGTGCACAATTTCTATGTTCTGCATGTGGTGAGAGATCCCTTATAGCAGCAATGAGTCCCTACATAATGAGTTAAAGAAGAACATATATTAGAGACAAGACAAATAAAGAAATATATATATATATATATATGTATATGTATATATATGTATATATATATATATATATATATATATATATATGCCTGTAATATGATTCAAAAACTAACCTTTTGCTGAACACTAATAAATGTCCATCCAAGTCCATATGTTATCCCCAAATCTTGAAAAAGAATATCTAGAAACCATTTCCAATTGCTCTCATTCTCAGAATCCACAACTGCCCATGCCAAGGGAAATATCTGGTTGTTCCCATCTTTGCCAACAGCACACAATAAAACACCTCCTAAAAGGGTCTTCAAGAAACACCCATCAAAACCAATTATTGGCCTACAGCCTTGCAAGAAACCTTGTCTGAGTGCACTAAAACCAACATAAAACCTTTGAATACACTGCCACTCTCCAAGACAAGCTGAAATGTGCCATTTCTATCAACCATTTGAGGGTTGCACACCATATTTTTCACTGATAGAATCCTCTAAGTCAGAAATTTTCATCTTAGGCTTCTTCCTAATCATAGGTAGATACTCCCCAGCAACCCATGAAGCAGTTGCTTGTTCAGTGTTCAAGTCCCTATGGCAGCTGTGGGTATTGACAAAGGTCTTGATAACCACACTACCTTCACCTTTTATCAGACTAGCATAAAGCCTCCATGGACAACCCACTTCACACCTAGCTTCAACCTGACTTGAACTACTTCTGAAGAAACTTATGTTGCAGCCATTATAGATTGCATAACTCTGAATTGCTTTCTTACATTGTCCAATGCTTTCAAACCTCATCCCAAGCTGAAATTGAAATGCCTGCAGATCTCCCTTACCATCATAAACAATTTTCTTTTTCTTAGGCCTTGCTTCATCATCATCATCACCAAAACCCTCACCACTAGATGAATCAGTGTTCACATTCCCTTTAGAATCTTCATATTCTGACTCAATATCTCTAGCAGGTGTAATGCTGTCATCAGCCTCATGATGTGCAGATGGTTGTGCAAAGGAAATGTTTGCATCTCCAGCATCTTGTGACTTTGTGGAGTTGAAAACTTCTCTCCTGGCATCAAGATACTCCTCATCATCTGTCCCTAAATCTTCGTCAGACATACCATCATCACTTGAAGATTCTCCAGATGGTTCATAGTCCTCATCCTCACTTTCATCTAAAGCAAACTCAACTAGCTTGTCACTAGTATCAACCAGCTTGTCACTAGTATCAACCAGCTTCTCACTAGTATCCTTTGCTTGGTCTACCTCAGCAACTTCAGATACCCTATTCCTAGATCCATTTTCTTGTTGACACACAGCAACCCCACACGGTTTCTTTAAATGTGCAGTTTGCACATATATTTCAACATATCTTTTGTTTCCCTGCATTTGACCCAAACAATCCATAACACCAGCATCATCTGTTATATCTTTAAATTCACGTGTTGTCCGATGCTTATAACATATTCTACCCCAGTTTTCATATCCCAACTTCGTTATTTCATCTTCAATGTCAAAATAACCTAGCCTATCTGCATCCAACCCAGTAACCGTGGCAACACAATCACCATAATACGCCTCATACCCATCGACAGTCACAAATCTACCCTTGTGATTGATAAATAATAGAAAAAAATCGCTGTAAATTGGAAAAATCGAAAAAGATTAACAAATCGAACCCTAAAAAATATAAAATCAAATTAAACATTTCAAGAGAGAAAGGGCAGTTACCTTGCAACCATGACGTCAAATCGATGATATGGAAGACACACCCTCTGAATTTCGGAGCAAATCGATGATCTAGGGTTTCAACATGTAAAAATCGATTTTGTGAATTAAGATTTTGGGGAAAATTTCAGGCACATTTGGCTTTTATACTACCCGACCCTGCCACCTCGGTGCTGATTGGGATGCCCGTTTGGTGTGTCCGTCAGTTTTAAAAGCCACGTAGGATTTCCGTTAACGGCAGACCAAACCAGGTATCGGGTTGCAAAAAATGTGAAGGTCGTGTATTTATTTGCCAAGGTCTAAAGGTGGTGATTAAATGGCCAAACACGAAAAGGTCGTGTATTTTCCCGCCATTAAGCCTTCTTAAAATAGTACCTATTTTAGCCAAAATAGTACCACATCTTCTTCTACGTGATACATGTTTTTGATCAATTAGCTACTTTTGTTATTGAAAATTGATTATTTCAATTTTGGTCAACTTTACAAGAAGTAGTACCAGACATAGAGTAAGATAGTACCAGTTTTATATTGTTGTGGTACCTGACATTGGGTCTTTTGTACCAATTATAATGAACACATAAAAACACTGAATTTCGGTTTCAAATGATGTTTATATGACCCATAATTACTCTCACATTAGTTTATATGAGATTTAAAATGTTTTTAATTGAGTTTATTCGCAAATTGGTTATGAACTCAACACACTAATGAGAAAACACTACTAATACAATTCATTTCATTTCATTGAATTACACACTTCATCTCATAGAATTATCATACATGACTACTCCAAATTCTACCTATATGTTTTAATTTCCACTATTTTTCATCCAAATCACGTGTGAACGTTCCACGTGTCATGGTAGACATGAAGGATTAGAGAAATCACAATTCTTAAATAGTACATGTTCTAGCCAAAATAGTACTGCATCTTCTTCTACGTGGTACTTGTTTTTGATCGATTAGTATCTACTTTTGTGAACGAAAATGGATTATTTCAATTTTGTTCAACATCTACAAAAAGTAGTACCAGACATAGAGTTAGATAGTACCAGTTTTTCTTGTTGTAGTACCTGATATTGGGACTTCAGTACCACTTGTAATGAACACATTACCGAATTTCGGTCTCAAATAATATTTATATGACCCATAATCACTCTCACATTAGTTTATATGAGATTTATAATATTTTTAATTGAGTTTAATCGTAAAATGGTCATGAACTTGACACACTAATGAGAAAGCACTACTAATACACTTCATTTCATTGAATGACACCCTTCATCATATAATTCATATAATAATTGTTATAAATATGTATTCTCTTATTTTTACATCGATATAGATTTTTTATTTTATTTTATTTTTTATATATTATATCTCAAAATAATTATATTTTAATGATCTTCGATTGACATCCATATTGCATATATAAAATAAAAATAATTAAATCTATCGTTATAAATAAAACTACATTTGTAAAAAACTAATTTCAAAAATATGAATATAACATAAATTATTTTATAACAAATATAATAAAAATATAATTCAGTATTATTATACTTATTATTCACATATATTTTTAAATATATGATAAAAATTTTACAAAAATATTTATTTAATGGAACCACATTGTATTCAAATTGAATTTTTCAATAAAAAGTTTTAAAATGACACTTATTTTGAAATATAATAATATAACTTAATATCAGTTACGTACACCGTACGGGTAGTGTACTAATTTTAAATAGATATATTTTATATAATTTTGCACAATTTAAATGGTAGTTTAGTACCCAATATCGCGTCTTCAGTACCAATTCCAACGAACATAGAAGAACATTGAATTTCAGTCTTAAATGATGTTTATATTACTTAAAATCACTTATACATTATTTTCTATGAGTATTTGAATATGTTTAATTAAGTTTACTCGACAAGTGGTCATGAACTCAATAGAGCATTAGTTTTGAAATTTAGAAATATTTTGATTTTATTTTTAGATAATTTTAATTTTATGGAAACAAATTTGTCTTTTAGTTTCAATATAAATAAAAAGCATCCCTTAATATATCCACAACCGCGACATTCCATATTTATTGCAATTAAAATCACTTAGGCGACACATTCAATATATGAAACTGGTAAACATGATATATCATTCATTAAATTGGTTGATATCCTATCATAATATTTATTTGTTTTCTTTTAAAAATTAAATGATGTGCTTAATTTTTAACAAATAAATATTTAAATTGTAGTCCTTCTTGACGCATGAGTTTCACAATAAATAATATAATCTTGCCTGAACGGTCATTTATATTGAAATTATATTCGTTTTAGTGTTTTAAAATATTTATAACGTAATTTGTCGCGTTTTGGCTCTTTTACTACGCAGCGTAAATAGAAATTCGTGTTGCGTAAGCTATTAGAGTATAAAACTTTGTTTGTTAGAAATATCAAATATTTGCATATAATAAAATTGAGTTGTTAATTTAAAAAATTATTTTAATAATATTATATGACATTCAATTTTAGAATAAGATAATAGTTGAGTATTATGATTAATAAATTGATTGCGGTTTTATTTTGGCGTGAAATGTCCAAATTTAAATGATATGAGTTTCATATGGCATGAAATATCTCAAAATAATCATATTTTGATGATCTTCGATTTGACATCCATATTGCATATATAAAATAAAAAATAATTACATCTGTCATTATAAATAAAATTATATTTTTTAAAAAACTAATTTCAAAAATATGAATACAACATAAATTATTTTATAACAAATATAATAAAAATCTAATTCAGTAATACACCATAGAATAATCATTTTATTGCGTCTTATCATAGATTTCAAATAAAATAAGAAAATTAAGTACAAAAATACGGACCCCATTTTGAATTAATTACTACTTTTTTAGTTATTCATTATTTTTTATATTCATTATACATTATTTTACAATAAAAAATAATTTATTTTAAACTTCTACTGTACAAATAATAATATATTTAAGTACCTGTATAGTACACGGAAATCATACTAGTTGATAAATATATTCCTCTTGAAAATTAGATAGATCTTTGAATAAATAGTTAATTAGATGATAAATTTGAACGACATAGTAACATACAACAAACCTTAAAAATTGTGATATTAGTGTAATATAGATTTATATGAAATAGTAAAATAGAATTTTTTTTATTTGGATAGTTTATACAAAAATAAATTTATATTAATTAATGAAAAGATATAAGTTTTAATATTATACTTATTATTCATATATATTTTTAAATATATGATAAAAATTTTATTAAAATATTTATTTTATGGAACTACATTGTATTCAAATTGAGTTTGGAATAAAAAATTTAGAATGACAGTTATTTGAAATGAAATAATGTAACTTATTATCAGTTATGTACATCATACGAGTTGTGTACTAATTTTAAATAAACATATTTTATATAATTTTGCATAATTTAAATTTCATATAACATTTTAAATAAATTAATATAGGGGGAGTATTACATAGTGATTTTATATTTTTTAATTTATAAATATTATTTAGCGAAAATTTATAATTTATAAATATTAATGAATATCTATTTCCCGTGCATCTCATTAGATTCATAATAGTTTGTTTTAATGAATTACAAAACTGATACTTACACTGGAATAAGACAGTAACAGTGTTGTCGTAACTCAGTACATATATATTGTCATTTAATATCGACTTATATGAACGAAAATGAATATATACTGTAAATATTTGTTTACAAAAATGATACCTATAATGTAGTAGGACAATACCATTGTCATTGTAATTTAGTAGCTATATCTTGTGTGGAAGGAAAGAGCAAGAAAAATAATAAAATATTATAAAAAAAAAAGTAGTAAAAGAGAAGAATAGTAGAAGATGAGAACAAAATAAAAAAAAAATGTGTGGAAAGAGAGAGAAAGAGAAATAATAAAAAAAAAATAAAAAATTTAGTAGTAGAAAGAGAAACAATAAAATAATAAGATGAGATGAATGGTAGTGAGATGATGTCACAATAAAATTTCTTTGTCATTTATTTTAGTTGGAGGAATTTAAATGGAAATTGAATATGAGGGTATGTAGTGAAATAGAAAAAAATTATGTATAGGGACTGACATGGAAGATGATTAAGGGATTAGGAATTTTTAAAGAAACCTACCAAAAATTATTTGTAATTTGAGTTTTTATATTAATAATATTTAAAATGTAATGACTAAAATTGACGTGATAAAGAAGTAAGAGAGAAGTTGTTGAAAATGTTAAAAAAAATTATGAATGAATAATAAATTAAAGTTGATGTGATAGGTAAAAAAGTGAATAATATTATTTAATAATATTGATAATTTTAAAAAAAAAATTAGTTGAATTTTGAGTAAATAGCGTGAAAAAATTGTCACACCAATTAAAACGGAATTTTTTTGTAGCCATGCTTTTCCATGCAAAAACCTAAAAAATGCCAAAAGTTAGTTAAAAGAAAAAAAAAATATAGAGAAGATATGGGAGGTGGGAAAGTGTGAAAGAAATATTTTCTTTTTTCCTCTGTGGAAGTAAAGGGTTACGTCTTCTTGAAGACCACGTATCTGAAAAATTAATTTATAATAAGTAAAATATAATAGACATACGTCGTTACCAAGTCTTGCCATTTTGCTGTCATATTACACAGTTTGTTGACAGGGAGATGAACTAATTGATGTATCTTAATTATTGTAAACCTTGACCCCCAACCACCTTAACCTCTTGAACTCTACTAATGAATTATGATTATGTGTACTAAAGAGTTCATATACGTCTTATATATAAGGTTTGGTTTATCTGTGATCCATTGAGTTGGGTGACCAACAAAATGCCAAAAAAATAAATAAATAATAAATTTAAGATAAAAAGTCACAAAAAATTGGTTACCCAAATCACAAAATGTCCTTGGGTCTCGATTGGATATTAACGTGGGAATGAGACACTTGTTTCATTCTTATTGACTGATTGTAATTTTTAAATCAGATATTACGACTGGCTCTTGCTACAATTGTTCCTGGCGAGCAAGCGAACCGCGACATGACCAACGTTCGCCACCACCGTTCGGTGACGAGGAGGTTGACGACGACGACAAGGTGTCGGAGGTGAATCCATTCGGCATCCGCGCGACTCGACGGGAGGAGGACGGGTTCGGCGACCATTGCTGGGAGGCTGCGTTCCGCATCGATATCCCGAACTTCGCTGGCAGTCGACTAGTGGATGGCCGCCGTGGCAGCACCAAAAGGTTTCAAGGCGCAGGCTCGGCCGCTCGGGAAATCGAACACTACAAGAAAATGCTGAAATTCCAATGGAAATAAATTATAATAGAATTCCAACAGCAATTCCAATGGATATTTAAATGCTATTATAAATTCCAACAAAAATATTCCATTGGAATTTTCGTTGGACTTTGATGATTCCAACGGTGGTGGAAATAAAAACTCCAAGGGAAATTGCATATTCCAACGGAAATTTCTACGGTCAAAAACCGTTGGAAATATAGCCGTTGGAATCATCAAATTCCATCTAAAATTCCAATGTACATTCCAACGGAATAATTTCATTGGAATGATTCCAACGGAAGCTATACCATTAGAATATCTTTTGGAATTTTCATTGGAATATATTAACATAGGATTTTCCGTTGGAATATAACAATTTTTTTATAGTGGAAGATCTCGTCGTGAGCCAAGTTCCAAAACACATCGAGCGTGAGTTTCTTCCCTTTAACTATGTTCGTACTATGTATCAACAACTTCAGAATGTGAGGCAGGGTACACGATCCGTTGATGAATACACAGAGGACTTTTATCATCTTATCACGAGGGTGGATGCAAATGAGAAGAACGAGCAAACCATTTCACGATATATTGGCGGGCTGCGTTTACCAATCAAAGATATGCTGAATTTGTTTGTGCCAGACAATATATCGAATGCGCGTTGTCCGTTGAACAGCAGCTCGCACGCCACGTGAATTCTGCCGATTTTCTCGCGACACGTGGGGGTTCGGCGGCGGGTCAGGGTCGTCCTCCTGCTGCAGCGGGAGTGATGGCAGGTCACAGCGCAACACCTGGCCTGGGCGATTCTTCAGCGTCAGCAGGTTCATTTGGGGTTGTCGCGGGTTTGGTTGCGTCGGTTGCGACGGCTAAAACGCGGTAGGGAGGAGGGCTGAGGTGTTTTGATTGTGGCGAGGCAGGCCATCGGTAGTCCGTGTGTACGTGACGTGGCAATTCGCTCGCCATTATGGCTGAGATGGACGATAAGGTTCGCGAGAGAGACATGTATGATTGCCCCCTGTTAAATTAATGCTCTTTCTAGAAACTAGTAGATATTAGTTGACAGATATTAGTTGGTTGTTAAACATTTATTAATTAAAAAAAAAAATGTCAAGAAAGGCGGCTGAAGCCACCGCCTCATTTGCCTATAAATATGTATGTACTCCTCACTCTCAATGAAGCAATAAAAAAAATAAATTAAACAAAGCTTCATTAGAATAATAAGTGTCTTTTGCCATTACTAATTCTTCTAGCCTTATAATAAAAATAAAATAATAAATTCAATCTATTTCTTCCAAATTTATACACTTATCTTTCATTGTATTCATATACATTTAATATCATATTATAGATACCAACAGTGGTATCAGAGCCCGGTTGGATCAATAGCTGGGCGAAATTATTTTTCCATAGTCTTCTATTTTTAGATATCTTGTCCAAATCCATAGTCTTCTATTTTTAGATATCTTGTCCAAATACCCTACTTTCACATATCCTCCTACTTTCATATATAGCCTACTAAAATTCTAAAATGGCCACTTCCCAAAACACCCATCAAATACCAATTCCTATTTTCTCGGGCGAAAATTATAACTATTGGTCCATCAAAATGAGAACATATTTTATGTCTCAAGGCCTATGGAATATTGTCGAGAACGGGTATACTATCCCTGATGACATATCCACTTTGTCTACGGCGGATGAAGAAAAATTCGACCGGGAGAAGGAAAAAGACAGTTTAGCTATTTTCACACTACAAATGGCCATGACGGAGTCCCTGTTTCCAAGAATTAGCGGAGCACAAACATCAAAGGAGGCATGGGATACTCTAAGGGAAGAATATCAGGGTAGTGACAAGGTACGTCATCTAAAATTACAAACTCTAAGAAGAGATTTGGAAAATATGAAGATGAAAGAATCTGAGACCGTAAAAGATTACTACACTCGATTAAGAGAAGTAGTAAATCAATTAAAAGCATTTGGAGAAAATATCACTGACAAAAGGGTGGTAGAAAAAATACTAATTACTCTACCACCCAAATATGATCCTATCGTCACGACGACTGAAGAAACTAAAGATTTGGATCATTTGTCAGTGACAGAATTAATAGGTTCACTTGAAGCCTATGAGAAAAGACTGAGTATGCGTGAAAATGATACAGTCGAATACGCATTTCAGTCAAAACTAAAATTACGGTCTCAGAATTCTAAAATTGGGGGGAGAAAATTTGGAGAAAATAGCAAAAATAAAAATCAAGGTGGAAATTATAATAATCAACAAAAAGAAAAATATTCACCTTGTGGAGTTTGCAAAAAGACCAACCATCTTGAGAAGGATTGTTGGTACAGAGATAAACCACAATGTAAAAATTGTGGTAAATTCGGTCATGTGGAGAAAAATTGCCGCATAAAAAAATATCAAGCAAATTTCTCTGAAGAAAATGAAAAAGGAGAAAATTTGCTATTCTATGCAACACATGCAACTTCAGAAGAGAAAAATGATATTTGGTTCCTAGACAGCGGCTGTAGCAACCATATGACCGAAGATGAGAAGAAATTTAAAAATATTGATAGATCTGTAAAATCACAAGTTCGATTAGGAAATGGAGATCTAGTAGAAGTTGAAGGCAAAGGCTCAATAGAAGTCGAGACCCAAAAAGGTACTCGTCTCGTAGAAGATGTGCTTCTAGTACCAAAACTTGATACTAATTTACTCAGCGTGGGACAAATGGTGGAAAAAGGATACAAGCTACTATTCAAAGACAACTCTTGCACCATTTATGACAACAAAAATAATCCCATAGCTGTAGTAAAAATGCAACAACGGAGAAATTTTCCACTCCGTTGGAAATTCATAGAAGCAGCACTAAAAGCCGAAGAAGATCAATCCTGGCTATGGCATCGAAGATTCGGGCACTTCAACTTCAACGGGCTAAAGTTACTCCATCAGAAAAATATGATGAAAAATCTACCGTCCATCCAAATGAACAACAATCTCTGCGAAAAGTGCATGGAGGGAAAACAACATAGGAAATCATTTCCTTCAAGTCAAGCAGGAAGAGCCAAACAAATACTGGAGCTGGTGCATACAGACGTGTGTGGACCAATGAGAACGCCAACCTTCGAGAAAAACAAGTACTTCATCCTCTTCATTGATGACTACACAAGAATGACTTGGGTGTACTTCATGAAAGAGAGATCAGAAGTCTTCTCTATTTTCAAGAAATTTAAAAGCCTCGTCGAAAATCAGAGTGGAAGAAGAATTAAAGTACTTAGGAGTGATCGAGGTATAGAGTACACATCCAAGGAGTTCAACAAATACTGCGAGGATGAAGGAGTCAACCATCAGCTAACTGTCGGCTACGCTCCAGAGCAAAATGGCGTGTCAGAAAGGAAAAACAGAACCGTGCAAGAGATGGCCAGGACAATGCTTGCGGAGAAGAACATGCCAAAAGAATTTTGGGCAGAAGCTGTGTACACTGCAGTTTATATACTCAACAGGTGCCCTACTAAAGCTGTCCAAAATAAAACTCCAATAGAAGCTTGGAGTGGACGAAAGCCATCAGCCCAACATTTACGAGTCTTTGGGAGTATTTGCTACGTGCACATCCCAAAGGAAAGGAGACATAAACTTGAGGAGAAATCCGAGAAAGGCATATTTCTCGGCTATGCATCTCAATCTAAAGGATACAGAATTTACATCCTCAAGACTGGTAAACTAATTATCAGTCGAGATGTCGAGTTCGATGAAAATGCTACGTGGAACTGGGAGGAAGAAAAGGTCGCATACCAAAATATCATGGTATCTGTATCACGGAGGCAAAATATCATACCAGAAGAACAAGAAGATGAAACAGAAGGTACACAATCATCTCCAACTCCACAACCTTCCAGTCCTAGAACATCATCACCATCAAGCGACGAACAGTCATCCTCAGAATCACCACCAAGAAAAGTACGAACACTCAGGGAGATCTACGAGACATGCAATTTTGCCACGATGGAACCAGAGAACTTTGAAGCAGCAGTAAAACAAAAAGAATGGGTAAAAGCCATGGAGGAAGAAATCAGGATGATCGAGAAGAATAAAACTTGGGAGTTGGTCGATCCACCAAATAACAAGGAAGTCATTGGAGTTAAATGGGTCTACAAAACAAAGTTGAATCCAGATGGCTCAATTCAAAAACATAAAGCACGACTGGTAGCTAAAGGGTACTCACAACTTCCGGGGATCGACTACAACGAGACCTTCGCTCCAGTTGCTCGGCTAGATACTATAAGGGCTCTAATCGCTCGATGTATAGTCAGCATTCCTCAATGGCTATCTAGAAGAAGAGATCTATGTCGGACAACCT